TATAAGTTGTCACATAGCTATTTAGTGTCAAGGTTGGAACCAAATTTCTGAATTGTTTTCCATAATGATTTTTTACCTCTCTTGGTTATGATTGATATATTTTCAAGTAACAGAAGCCTTGTCAAAGAAAGGGAGGAAAATCTTACCCAGTTCAAGTAAAAGGAGTACAGTGGAACCTGGAGTCTGTGCACAGTATTCCCTCTTTCACCCACCCTAATCTACATTTTCTCTGACTGTCTGCTCCTTTTTTGTACACAGTTTCCATCAAAAGGCTCATAGTTTCTAAACCCTGAGCAAGGTGGTTACGTGGTTGAGCATGGCAAAGGACCCCCCAGCCTATCACATATAGATATTTGAGAGAGAGAAGTCAGGGATAGTTGAAGTTCAACGTCAGGAAATCTTGGCCTAAGACTTGACCCCATTTTTCAGGAATTAGACCTCCATGTAGTCATCATTCTATATCTTAAGCTATCTCAAACCATAAGAGGTAGTGAGCAGGACTAAATACTTTTGCGTGTGCCAAGGGACAATCTTCCACCAGCTGAAGCAGATATCCCAGAGACAGTAGGCTTCACCCCTTTTATGCAGGCTTGTCTTTGAATGTATTTTTAAAAATACAATCCTTCCAGAGTAGCATATTTTTTCTAAACATTTTAGACAACCCCAATCTCAGTATGTTCAAAATGTAGTTAACAATGCAGAGGAACACTTCTCATTTGGTTTGGTTTAGGCATTGTCTTTTTTTTTTTTTTTTGCCAACTTCACTGGAAATCCAAAAATAGATAATTTCTGAAATTAAGTGTCTTTATTTCTAAATGAAGAGCTCTAAGATGGCCAGTGACAGATGGTGCCAGGGACCAAATTTGACAACATTGAACAGGTGTTTCTACCTCAGGTCAAACCATTGCAGGCAGACAATGGAAGAGGGAGCTAAATCACATATTGGGCTCTATTCCTTCAGGGCTGTGGGTGAGTAATCAACTCTAGCCAAAAATAGTGTATGATTATACCCTGTTGCTTCATTACAGGCCATCAGCTATAGACAAATTCATGTTCTATATTGATTATAAAAGGGGTCAAAACATATTACCAAATATACTCAGAAGAGACACAACTGGCCATTCTAGCATATTCTTTTTGACTTAGATCTAAAACACTAGGTTTCATGAACATTAAACAGTCAAATAGTTATTGTACTTACCTTTACAGAAGGAATTTTTGAGGTAATTTTGACTATCCCACTAAAGGAGGATTAGCACATTAACAACAACAACAACAACAACAACAAAAAGACAAAGAAAATGTGGATTCCCACATCCCTTTCTTTTGCTTGTGGAAGCATCACTCATAGAACCACTTTTGCAATGATCCTGAACCTGGCCTCACAATCCCTCCCTAGACAGCTGTTCTTTCCCAGTTAATTGGAGGTAGCACTCAAGAAGGGAATTTTTGGCCATCCCGCTGGTAAACTGAACTTCCTTAGATGTTCACAGACCTTGTCCTACTTCTCTCCATATCCCAATTCCAATGTTTTACTTTCAAAAAAGTGACAACCAATATGTTGTTGTAGATGGATAAGTGGCCAGAAATCTTAAAAATAGTTTTTCACAAGCAAGTAATTCTCAAAAAAATATGCAAATAGCCAGAATCATACAGAAATAGGTTTAACTTGACTTGTAATTAAAGCATGTGTTTTTGGCAAATTATTTTTGGGTACCTTGGTAAATATTGCTTAAAAAGAAATAATTGTTGGTGAGAGTGAAGGGAAGCAAAACCATATATAGCTAGTAAGACTATAACTTATTAGCTCCTCTAAAGGGAAAATAGCTTATCAAAAATCATAAAAATGAATGATTTGACCTGGGAATTCCACCTGTGGAAATTTATTTCATGAAAATAGATATTTTTGCAGAGATTTTGCTACAAGCATGTTTATTGCATATAATATTGAAAAATTAGAAATTAAAGAGTTTAAAATTATTGTAATTAACAAATTAACAATTAACAATTGTTATATGACCAACAGTCAGGGATTGGTTAAATAATATTTATGCCTGTCTATATAGTAGTATTTATATTATATATATGTATATTTAACAGTATATGGTGATTTAAATTATATAAAATTGTATTTATCAACATAGACAAATGTTTATTATATACTGATAAGCAAATGAAAAGAGATTGCAAAGAAGCATTTATGATGTGGTTTTACTTTGTTAGTGTATGTATGTATGTTCATAAACCCAAGTAAAAGGGTCTAGACACCCCAACAAGTTAACATTAACTATTTCTTGACAGATAAAATAATGGGACTTTTTTTTTTCCTTTGCCTACATGTTTTTCTCTGTAATGATCACGAATTGCTTTAGTAATAAAAGGTAATTTTTTAATATTTAGAAACTTGCTGTCCAGGGAAGTTTTTTTTATTTGTTTCCCTCAAAAAAATTTTATTAATTTTTATTTATTTAAAAAGTTATACAGAATACTGAAAGAAGATATAAAAATGAACAAGTACTATTCCCATCTACAGAATGCCACTCTTAACATTTTGCAGTAGGTACATTCATTTATTTACAGATTTTTTTCTTGTTTATTGAGGGATATTTTACATACAGTAAAATCTACCATTTTAAGGTGATGTGTGTATGATATATGATGAATGTGACAACCACTACAATCAAGATACAGAATATTTCCATCACCCTCAAAATTGCCTCCTCACCTTTGTAATTAAACCACTCTCCCCAACCGCTCTCTAACAATCACTGATCTGATTTCTGTTCTTAGGGTTTCAACTTTTCAAGAATGTCATGAACATGGAATTATACAGGAAGCAGCTTTCTTAATCTGGCTTCTTTCATTTAGCATGATGCTTTTGAGATTCATCCATGTTTCCCTTTTAATTGCTGAGTTATAGTCTATTATATTTTATATATTATTCTATAGTAAGCAAACATTCAAAATCATTCAATTGATTATTCTTTTCAAGAATAGCTATTTCTGCATGTAAACATTAAACTCCCCCTCCCCCACATGGGTGGGGGTGAGGATTTGAAGAGTACATCTTAAATGTCATTCACACATTCTTTGCTCCTTTTCCGTTTCTCATTCCCCATTTTTCCTTAATATCTTCCCTCCTTTCTACTAAAACACTGAGAGGAAAATAATAACAAAAGTCTGATATGAGTGGTTGTTATAGAAGACAACTGAGTCATTTCTGTTTTACTTAGGTTCTCAATGTTAGTTTATTTAATCATAAAAGCAATGTATGCTGTTCATTACACCAAAAATTGGAAGAAGATTTTTAAAGGACTAGAAAAAAATGGCATTATTGTGGCATACTTAAATTCTATATCTGTTTCTATTTTTGGCACATTGTTTTAAAATCATGCTATATATGCAATTATGTTTTATTTTTCCTAATAGGAGGGCTTCCCAAATATTTTCTCGGGGCTCTCCTTTCTTTAAGAATTGCTGGGCAGGGCACAGTGGCTCACACCTGTAATCCCAGCCCTTTGGGAGGCTGAGGCGGGAGTATCATTTGGGGTCAGGAATTTGAGACCAGCCTGGCCAACATGGTGAAAGCCCGTATCTACTAACAATACAAAAATTAGCCATGCATGGTAGTGCACGCCTGTAATCCCAGCTACTTGGGAGTCTGAGGCAGGAGAATGACTTCAACTTGGGAGGTGGAGGTTGTGGTGAGTCAAGATTGCACCATTGCAATCCAGCGTGGGCGGCAGAGCGAGACTGTGTTTCAAAAAATAAAAATAAAAATAGTTGTTGTGCCTAGCCTGCATCTGTCTCATTCATTCTCTCATTTAGCAATACTCTTGAAAACCTGCTAAGTGCAAGGTGTACAATGATAGAGAAGATAAGCACAATCCCTGTCCTCAGCAAGTGGGTGCTGCCTTGCTTACTCCACTGCAAAAGTCAATAAGCAACATAAGCAGTAACTGGGGTGTGAAGTATGGGTGTTAACTAAAGTCACACAATGAGCAGTGACTGCCTGTATTGAATATGACCTTTAGTCATATTCTCTTTATTATCTCTATGTTCTCTAATTACTTTTCCTCTCTCATGAAAAACTAATAGAATTAGCAAATCATGATTATTGCTTTCGTATCAGGTAGATCATACTAACATGACTAAAATGAATAAGATCTTTACAAAAAAAAAATCAATTTAAAGAGTTAAAATAAAAAGAAACTCGGTATATTGTCAAGTTCGTCCGTTCCATCATACTTATCTATTGTGTACTTACCACAGAACAGAGAAGAATCTTTACATTAAATATGTCTCAAATGACATGGTCTATTTTCAAAACATTTAATGACAGGGGCAGGACAAGGGCTGATCTTTCATAAGGAGACCCCCATAAGGTTACATGTAAATTTTTCCGTTGCTATATCTGGGAGATCTGGCTGGTACCTCCAGGCAGAGACCAAGATGACTAGTATACCGGGAGCTGTCAGGAGGTTCACGACAGTGGCTATTTTCTAAACAGTGTGACAGTATTTCAACATTTTAATGACTGGTGTGACAGGCTCAACACTGGAAAAAAAATATGTTACAGTACTTCAGGTGATTTCTGCTTTAGGGAAAGGCATAATGGTCATGACAACTCTTCTTTTAAAAGAAGAACCTTGTGTGTGGTAGATCCTCTATTAATCCAAAAAAGTAGAAAGTTAAAATCCACTTAGTAAAGAATCAGACAGTGAGGAATTCCATGAACAGACAATTGAAATAAAATATAGACATTATAGCAATGCTGGTAGAGATAGAGAAAAACAGGAGAAATAGAAAAGAGGGGGGGAAAAGGCCAGTAGAAAAATCTTCTGGGCTTGATAGAAATCTGAAATATCTGCTTATTTTAAAAGAAAAAAAACAAAAACAGGAAAAAGAGTCATCTTATCATAGCCACATTGGCAAAATGGCACAATATGAACTTTTACTGTGCATGATAATATTTTTAATAGCTTGCTTCCCTCTTTTAGCTTTCCTTATTGGAAAAGGCTGGATTTGGAGGTGTTCTTCTGTATATTGATCCTTGTGATTTGCCAAAGACTGTGAATCCTAGCCATGATACCTTCATGGTGTCACTGAATCCGGGAGGAGACCCTTCTACGCCTGGTTACCCAAGTGTTGGTAAGTTTGTTGTTCATCATTATTATACTTGTAAGTTAGCATTACAAGTTTGCAATTTATAAGTAAATGCTACCTATCGGGAATAGTGATGTCAAATAATTCTTATCATCCCATCTTATTTTTTAAAAAAGCAATTTATTTTTCATATTCTCAAAATTATAGACTATCAATTTATTGGTATAAATTGGATTTATACTATAATGTATTTTTATCTCAACAAATTACAGTATGAACAGATAGAAATGTATTTTATGTTTTATTGTGGATTGACTGATAAGACAAATTAACACCAGGAGTGGTAGGCACTCCAGGTAAGCCAATGGCGTGTACAAATACCCAGGAGCATGAAATGTCTGCTGCTTTGGTGCAGCTGTAATAACTTTCAGTCCTGGGTCTAGAGGTACCCATGATCAAGTTAGGTGAGTAAAGTAGTAAGAAAAGATGCTAGAGAAGAATGGATTTAATATGCTTTTCTGGCTGTCTTAAGAGAAGGGATCTCATTGTTTTGGCCATCACTGGAAGTATAGAGATGGCTACTTTGCAGCAAATATCTTTCTTTTTGCTAGATAGCTGTGTTCATGCTAGTAGGGATCATGTGGAAGAGAGAAAACAACTGTGATTTTGGCAGATGCTCACCGCATCATTGAATTTCTGTCCAATGTGTCATTGACGAATATTCTGTTCATTCAACTTGGCTGAGAAAAAAGCTCTTTGAATCTTCTTCCAGGGTGATACTGACCCATTAACCATGACCCTTCAGTCAATAATTAAACTGATCCAAAAAGTATGTAATTATTAATGTGTTCTGCCAATATTTTTCCCCCAAAAAGATCACAAAAGAATTTACTAGTTCTCTTACTCAAATCCAGCTGCCTATTCTCTCATTGTTAACTTTACCAATTAATTAGCACCTTTTTCCAAGAAGGAAGCAAATTGAATCACATATGAGAATTATAACCTATGAATTTTGTTGCATCTACTGATTATTGATTTTTCTTCTATATGCTACAAAAGTATTCCTTTAATAATCCATGTAAAATTACTCCGAGATCTCACTGATCTGTACTTTGTGCAGTCCCATGTCTTAACATTACAATTTTAAATTAGAATTAGTAGGCATCTATCTACAATTTCTAGACATCACCCAAAACACCAGTCAGCTCTCTCATTTGCAAATACACTCACTGTTCTGCATTGTAATTGCTCAGCTTCAGGAAGCTGCGTTTGGCAGTTAACTCACTGTGGCAAGTCAATGGGCTGCAGTGCTACCAGAGAGAGGCTCTGTATGAGTGCTCTATCTTAAGCTGATAAGTTGTTCAGTTGGCACCATTACTCAGCATTTTCTTGCCCCCGGTCATTTCATAAATGCAGAATTCAGTCATGGGTAGCAAGTGTTGGTCAGAGTTGTAAGAAGTTTCAACATGCTTTTTTTCTACTTTTTATTCTAAAATAATCTAAACTTCCTAAAATGGTTGCAAGTTTAGTATGTATAGAATCTCTGAAATGGTTTTATTCTGCCATCACCTTAACAAATAGCATCTGGCTTCTTTTTATCCATGCTAATGTTCTTATCAAACAGCAGCACCCTTACTTTCTTCTCGTAAACATACTTTTTCATTCTTTACATGACAAGGTTGCAATTTTCCAATTTTTTCTGTTCTACTTCTCTTTTAATTAAAAATTCCATTTAAAAACATTTTTCACTTCTTTCATTTTACTGTAAACAGTCAAAAGAAGCCACATAGCACGTTGAACACTTTGCTGCTTAGATATATTCTTCTGCCAGATAACTTAGTTTATTGTTTTTAAATTCTACCTTCCATAAAGCCCTAGGTCATGGACACAATTCAGTCAAATCCGTTGTCACTTTGTAACAACGATGTCCTTTATTTACTTCAGTTTCCAGTACATTGTTCCTCATTTCTGCCTGAGACTTTATCAGAATGGCCGTTACTGTCCATCTTTCTATTAACATTCTGGTCATGACCATTTAAGTAATATCTAGGAAGATACAGGCTTCCCTACAGCTCTTGTCTTTTTTTTAAAGACCTCACCAGAATTGCTGTTAACAATCCTAGATTTGCTTACAACGATTTAGGCTTTTTCTGGCCTGTTCCTTTTAAGTTCTTCCAGCCTCTACCCATTATCCATTTCCAAAGCTGCTTCCATGTTTCTAGGAATTTGTTATAGCAAAAACCACACTTCTGGTTTCAATTTTCTTAGTCCATTCTGTGTTGCTATTATGGAGTACCTGAAACTGAGTAATTTTTTAAAAGCAGATATTTGTTTCTTACAGTTCAGGAGGCTGGTCCGTCCAAGGTCAAGGGGCTCACATCTGGCAAGGGCTTTAATCAGTTCATCCGGTGGTGGAAGGCAGAATGGTGAGAGAGTGAGCATCCATGAGAGCAAGAAAGGGCCAAACTCATTTTATAGCATGCCCCTCAAAATAACGAGCCTACTCTCATGATAACAACATTAATACATGCGTGAGAACACTTTATGATCCAATCGCCTCTAAAAGCTCGCACCTTTCAACATGGTTGAACATGTGTTTCATGTGTTTCCAACACATGACCTGTGGGGTCCACATCCAAATCATAGGAAATGGTTATTAGAGGGACTAATCTAAAACTAACTTTTTTCAATTTAAGAACTTTGTTTTATTCACCAATTTAAGGGTGATAAGCTGTAAAGAAGTAATTTAGAACAACCCAAAATACAAGGAGGTAGTTTTTAACTTTGTTTGTTTGGTTTTTAATATAAACAAAGTAAACACAGTCATTTAATGAACATTCCATATGCCTCATCCAGCTTTATTGACTGTCTACCTTTCTATCATTTTTGTTTTTTATCTGTACATTCCCTCACATCCCCACAACATCAGTATTTTTCAAGGTAAAATTTACATAAATTAAAATCCAGCACGCATACATGTAGGAGAAATTCAATGATGGGTAACTCGGGGTTGTTAGAACTTAGCTCTTATATAATATCTTAAGAAAATATAAAGATATTTAGAATAAATATATAGAGAAGTAACAAGACAAAGGAAAAGAGATTTAGCCTTTCAGGGGTAGCGAACTATAGGAAGAAAAATATATGGGTGGAAATTAATAAAGATAAAAGTTTTGTTTGAGTAAGGTTTGTTACGTAGTTCCTTTTCCTCTGCCCCTCTGGGTTAATAAGAGTCTCCATTAAAAGTCTAACCCTGACTTTTTGTAAATTGCAGGGGAGGCAGAGAGGGTTTTGTAAGGCACTGGGAGCATCTTCTGTTTCTCAGTTATCTTCAGCTCAAAGTAATCTTTATGCTAAAGTGACATATTTGCAGGTGGCATATTCTGACCCCCTATGACTGGTTTCACCAACTTGCTATAAGTATTTCAACTACACTAAACTATGATCCAAACAAATCTGATTTCCTAGGACCATATATTTCTGGAATTCTAAGAGACTTCATTGTTTATATAGCAAATATCAATTCTCAATTTAGAAGCACAAGAATCCTGCATTTTAGCCAAAGACTCAGGTAAATGGAGCATACAAACTGATATTTACATATCTAGTCATAATTATAATCCCAGGGATAGGTTGCAGTTGGAGTTGTATTTGGCCTAAAATCATAAATCAGCTACATGGGGTAAGACCCAAAACAAACAGAAAATCAGAAAGATACGAGGTAAGCATAAAAAATAAGAAAGTAAGAAATATGTATCTTTAAGGAGTATTCCATTTGGTCTATGTTGAAACATGGAAAAGAAAACCCTTTCCGAATTTCTAAGTGGTAAGATTGTCTGAAATCTGAAGAACTGAAAATAGTGTTAGGAATAACAAATCCTTTCTTCCATATACTTTCTTTAATAATTCATCTTCTGAATTCTGTATTGGCTACAGTGTTGATTTTAACTTTACTAACACCTCCAGGTAACTGGTAATCTGTTTACTACCAGTTAATTGTTTGTCTTGACTTAGACTTTAATTTCATTATATACCACTTTCAGAAATCCATCCTGATTTAAAGCTTAGTATCTATGTCCCTCTCTCTGGTTTTCTGCTACAATCTTTTTTTTTTTTTTTTTTCCTTTTTATTTGTTTTAAATTCCGGAGAGAAAAGTCTTTTCAGTGGTTCTATTCTACTGAAATGTATCAAATGAAACAGTTTATTTAATATTCCCAGCGTTACAATTCAGTGGATCTCTGTGTTGTTTATCTACTGTCTGTTCAACATCACCCCTGCCAAACAAAACTATTCAAAGAATAAAGAGTATCACTGTAATTTGTGACAAGTCATCACCAGGTGTTCCTGGTCCAGTTACCTGGACAAATATCGAAAGACTGACTTGAGTTGGCACTAAATCAACTGAGACAATGTTGAACCATTTCCTGACTAGAATGGCAGAAAATATAAGTATGTGCCTAGTTGTCAAAGCAAAGTGTTAGATATTCACAGCATGAAATGCCTTGTCACTTGGTTGGGGAAAATAGTGTCTGAATTCTTACTATTTCACTGTAAGTGCCTGGTGGTTCTCGTACGTGCTGTGCAGGCTTCAGATTTACATGTAATATTATTCAACTTGATTCTTAGAACCACTTGTGGAGTGGCTCATTGTTAAGCAGCAAAATTTTTCTGAAAGTTTATTCATAACGTGTTGAAGAGATTGTTTAAATTCAAACTGCTCCTTTAGAAAGTCTAAATTTTGTTTTGAAAAATAATTTGGGTGACATAAGTTCTCTTGCCTCCCCAGAGGGAAATTTACAATTGATTGTTTGAATGTCTAGGATTATAGTCTACAGAGAACATTTTTGAGTGGTTATTGTTCATAAAAAAATCAGTGTGCCATATACTAAATTCATCATTTAGAATGTTTTTTACTTATTATTGTATTGGGAGCACTCTACTTTAAATTAAACATGTACTCAATGAATAGAGACAATCAGTTTGTTTTGTTTAAGAACTAAAGTTTCCACAAAAATCTATGATGAATTCTGAGAATGATAAAATC